ATATGCTAATTTTTTGGGACAGGCATTTTGGGTTTTCATGAGCTGTATGCCATAATCATCAGTATTAAAACAATTAAAGACCTGAAATATTTCAGTTGGTGTGCAATGAATCTGAAATATATGAAAGTTTCATTTTTATCATTACATTAGGGAAAATAATGACCTTTATCACAATATGCTAATTTTTTTAGAAGGACCTGTACATGTCCTGATACATGCTCAATAATCCAGGTACATAAATTTAACAAGGTTGAGTCAGGTCCTCTGGACAGATTCTTCTTCTTGAAACGTTTTGTCTTTTATCCAAAAGACTTCTTCAGTTTGAGGAGCTGCAAGAAACTCAGTTTTGTAAATAACATCTTCTCATTGTGGATCAACCAGTTTGCTGTTGACATCCAGAACTAGCTGTTCACATGATAAAAGAGAACCATCAGCCTAACAATTGTTCGTTAGTGTCCTGATGGTCGCTTGCTATTCACAGAGAGCTGAGTGATACTAGCAATAACAGCACTGTAAGAGGGGGACAGTTGAGCACGGAGGCCTCCACCCCTGTTTCCTGCTGGACTGTTTCTCTTCACAGGGAGCATGGTGACGTAGTTGGTAGAGCTGCCGCCTCTTAGTGAGCAGGTCACCCATGTTCAAATTCCAGCCGGGAGCCTTTCTGGGTGGAGTTTGCATGTTCTCTCTGTGTCGTGTGGGGTTTTTTGGGCACTCCGGTTTCCTCCCACAGACCAAAAACATGTATGTTTGTCTGATTGGTAACTCTAAATTCTCCCTGTATACCAACTGTGATGGGAAGATGGGACAAAGTTCCAGAACGAGAACTTGCAGGCCTCATCTGATCTGGGATTTATGTCAAAGTGTCTCAACAGATGCCTCTCCTCATAGCAAAACATTACAAAGCTTGTTTTATAAACTCTGACATTCAGGAGCAAGATATACTAAGATTGAATTGTTTGGTCTGGAAGAAACCATTCACCATTAATACCATCCTAACAGTGAAGCATGGTAATGGCAGCATCATGCTGAGGGAGTGTTTAAAGCAGCAGGGACGGGGAGGCTGGTCAGGATTCAGGAAAAATTGGATGGAGCAAAATTGAGAGATATTTTAATCAGGACCTCAGACTGGACTGAAAGACCCAAAGGGACACCAAGAAGACCACGCAAGGGACAACTCAAGAGACAATTTTGAATGTTCTAGAGTGGACCAGCCAGAGTTCTGATTTAAACTCTATCAAACATGGCTTTGATGATGTCAATAAGTTTATTCAGTTGGCAGCACGACAGCTCAGTGGTTAGCACAGTTGCCTCACAGCAAGAAGGTCCTGGGTTCAATCTCCGGTTGGACCTGGGGTCTTTCTGTATGGAGTTTGCATGTTCTTCTTGTGCTTGCGTGGGTTTTTTCCAGGTACTCCGGTTTCCTCCCACAGACCAAAAACATGCATGTTAGTCTGCCTTCAGGTCCAGGCCTCCCGTGCAAAAGAGATCTGTGATCTCAATGGGATTTGCCTGGTTAAATAAAGGGCAATAAAATTAGTTTATTTATAGAGTGCCAATTCACGACCAAGATAATCTCAGAAGGAGATACATAAAGCAAACAGGTTAATTTTCTGTCTAAATTTATGCAATATAATTCTGATTCAGATCCTGTTTCACATAATTTAATTCAGTCTATGTTTGATGTGTTGAATGGTAAAGTTGACAAGTGCAGTCATGAAGGAGAAGTTGGAGCAAAAACTTAAAAGCTGTTTAATAACTAAAGAAATCTAGGGTGAAACAAAGGTTGTGGGAACATAAAATTATAAGACTACATACAGTAAAGTTCCTGGAGAAACTTTGATGGGGACTGCCATGCAATGGCTGAGTTATCTTATTTTTTCCCTTTTAGCTTTTGTCTATGTTGGATATTGGATTTGCATTAGGAATGCATCACAAACAATGAAGAGTCCAGCTACAGGCAGAAGGTGGAACACCTGGAGAGCTGGTGCAAAGAGAATAACCTTCACATCAATGGGAAGAAGACAAAGGAGATGATTGTGGACTTCAGAAGGAACAAACACACCTACACCCCCCTGAACATAAGAGGATCTATGGTGGAAGTGATCTCCGGCTACAAGTACTTGTGGGTGCACCTGAACGACAACCTCAGCTGGGGCTGACACCACCAGCCTGATCAAGAAAGAACATCAGAGACTCTACTTCCTCAGGCGGCTGAGATGAGCTGATCTGGGAAGCTCAATCCTCACCTCCTTCTACAGGTGTGCAGTGGAGAGCATCCTGTGCTCCAGCATCAACGTGTGGCATGGAGGCTGCACAGCTGCAGAAAGAAAAGCTTTGCAGAGAGTGGTGAAGGCTGCACAGAAGATGTTGGAGTCAGTCTCCCCACCATCACAGACATCTACACCTCCAGATGCAGGAAGAGAGCCACCTGCATCATGAAGGACCCCACTCACCCAGCACACACACTTTTTGCCCCGCTCCCCTCAGGAAGGAGGTTAAGAAGCATTAAGAGTAGAACCACTAGACTGAAGAACAGCTTCTACCCTGAGGCTGTTAGACTCATGAATATCTCACCAGGATAATCACTGTGAAAAATCACATCATGTTGCTGCTGATCTGTTTCTTGTTGCTGCTGATCTGTTTCTTGTTGCTGTGTTCATGCGTGCTCATCTGCTCACACACTCATGTTTGTGCTGCTGTTCGACGGAATGTTTTTATGCTACTAGTGCTTAGTGTATATTTAGCTGACATTTTTCTTAGTTCATATCTTAGATGTTATTACTGTTTTTATTTTACATTTTATTGTTGGGTGTATTCATTCATTCAACCTTTATTTAGACAGATAAGCCACAATGAGCCTAGAAGACTCATTTACAAGTGAGATCTGTTTAAACAGACAAAAAAGTAATGAAACTGGACACATGTAGGAATTGGAGGTGAAGAAATTTCTATCAGACTCTTTCTTCTTTGAGGAAAAAAACCTCTAATATTAAAACACACCTCACACAAACAAGCACATAGTGACAAAGAGGAGACCCGGTCCGCGGCCGATTGGACCTGCGAGCCGCTGAAACCGAGGAAGCTAGACTATAGCTGTGGGATCTGGGAGCTGTTGCAACCAGGACCTGGTCTGTCATCGTTGGGGCTGCGAACTGCTGGACCGAGTGAATCGTGAGACCGTGTGGGACCTGGAGGTTGTTGCCGCTAGGTCTCGGCTAACAACATAAGCTGACAGCATAAGCCTGTGAACCTCGTGGCTGGATCCTGTGCTTCTGAGAGTTGAGACCAATAATCCAGAAGTATCGTGAGTAATGCTGAGCAAACACAGAGATAGGAGACAAGTGTCGGAAAATAATTCAGAAGATATGGAGGAAGTTAAAAAATCTTTGAACTTTTTGAGTGCTGAACTGACTAAAGTATCAGCTAAATGTGAATTACTGACAGGACTGTTTGAAGAAGTGAGACAATTGAAATAACTGATGACTAATAAAGACAGAAAAATAGCTGAACTGGAACAGAAAGTAGACGACATGGAAGAATACACAAAAATAGACGACTTGGTGATCACTGGACTGGAAGTTAGGAACCGGACATATGCAAGAGTTGTTGCTGGTACTAACACAACAGAAGATGCACCACAGGAAGAACTACAGACTCTGGAGGAGCAAGTACTGAATTTTTTACTAAACAAAAACTTTGACATCGAACATGAGGACATTTCAATCTGATCCACTTTGGAGTAAGCTGTTTGGGGGAAGAATCAGTTTTGTGTTGTGTGTTTCCTTGATTGGTGAAGCCTTCCGGATGGAAGGTGAAACGTTCCAGCAATAAAAGAAACTGTCCAGATGACCTGACTGAAAATTGTTAGATTGTGTACCTGGATTATTGAGCATAGACTTTTTTTGTTTTTTTAGTATGAGAAGTGTTCTGTCAGGAGTATGTATGTGGCATTTATATGGATAAATTGTGTCTTTGTTTGCCAATTACGTTGCCATGGTAACTTGAAACGACATTAAAACGCTATTAAAAGTAATAGCACACATCATGGTGCCGAGCCGATCATTGTGATGAAACATTTGTGGGGATACACGTTGACTTTGGGGCATCATTAAAGTTGACACAAGAGTAAGATGTAAAGTTAAGCAACCCTTGTCAGGTGGATAATAATACAGCATGGGGACTGCCTTACTGGGCAGTCTCCAATTAAAAGAGAATCAATTGAGTCGATAACCAGAAAGTAAACAAGTAATGTTTTGACTTTTATTGTTATGATCATGTGACATCAGATATAACAAAACAGTTTTTGTGTTGTTTAGTCTTTGCTCACTCTCAAATAAAACCCAAAGCCTGCTAAAAGTAAATTTCTTTCTAACAGGTCACCATCATGTACATATGAGTTCAGGTGCTAAACTAAAATATTTGTTAACCTGACAAACAGTCAAAGCCCTAAAAAAGAACAACAGGCTTTTTTTTTTCAAGCACCACCAGCTGGTCTCTGATCTGATAAACAACTCTTAAGATGCTCGGCTAATACACCACTGTAAAAATAACCACTGTAGTGTAGCTCTTATGCATCAGTGTTTTGTTGTTGTGCTGCTTATTTTCCACTATGCTTTGTTGTTTAAGGATTGTTTCTTTCCTGCATTCCCAGTTTGTCTGTTTTTTCTTCTAATGTGTGTTAATGTGTTCCTCCCTGATCAGAGGCCGATGTTGCTCACACATCTTACCTCAATGTGATGAGTTTTGAGTTAAATCTGAGAAACTGACGGTTTTTATCTGCTATATGTAGGTCAGTTTGTTTTGTAACCATCCTTTCTCGTTTGTTTCCCTCTCTCGTTTTATCTCCAGCGGTGCCAGTCCTGCTGGTCTTGTCCTGACTGTCGTAGTGTTCGTGGCGTACAAGGTGGCAATAAGCTTCGAGGGGTAAGTCTGTTGTTTATCCTGGGAGCTGCTCAGATTTATATTCTAGTGGCTTTGATTAATAACTTCTATGTAGATTTTGTCAAAATGAATAATTAATACATATATCAGTCACCGAAGACACAAATCATTACACATCAGGGTTTGTAATCAGGTGCTGATTATTGCTATTGGAACAAAGGCTTGAGCTATGGATGTATTCTACCTTTCTACCTTCAGATAGTGATTAGGTAATCACACTTCTACCACTGGGAAAGGGGAAGTAATCAATAAGTCATTAACAAATGTTAAACATACCAACAACCAGTTTAAATCAAAGCAATAGAAAACCACTGCCTTTTCAAAGAGCCCTCAGTAAAACACAATTCTGCAACCAGTCATCCCTCAACAAGTCAAAAATACATGATTTAAACCAAGTTTCTAATATGAATCTAAAAAAGTTAAATCTGCTCCTCTGGACATTCAAAAAACAAAACAAAGCAAAAGAAACAAAAAATGTAGAAACGTTTCGTCTCTCATCCGAAAGACTTCCTCAGTCTGAGGTGCTGTATTCAGCTCAGTCTCTTAAATAGCACCTTCTCAGAGTAGATCAACCAGTTTTGCTTCTGACAACCAAAACCAGCTGATCACATGATCAAGAAGGACCATCAGCCTAACAATGGATCATTAGCACACTGATGGCTGTTTACTGTTCACAGAGGGCTGAGTGATACTAGCAATCACAGCATTGTAAGTGGGGGACAGTTGAACCCGGAGGCCTCCACCCCTGTTTAATGATGGACGGTTTCTTTTCACAAAGATGGCCTCCTTTACTCCTCTCTCAAACCATTGTTCCTCTCTATCCAGGATGTGAACATCTTCATCCCTGAAAGCGTGACCGCTGGCCTGGAGATGAGTGTAGACCGCAGAGTCCTGGCCTGCGGTAAATAAAAAATATTATCCAGCGTGGTCTTTTTTGCGTATTAAAGATGTAGTGTACTCACTATTAGATGTGATGAGTGATGAAGGGTTTTGAGCATGCACAAAAACTTCCATAGCAAGGTTATATTCATGTATAGTTGGGCTGCTGTTTGATATGCCGTATTGTTTTACATTATTAGTGTTTAGCACTAATAATGTAATATTAGCATGTATCTTAGATCTATTAGCATACCGTTTGACATTCTTTTCACGTATATCTTAGTGTATATCTTCAATCCTTATACTTTATATTTTTGCTATTTTGGGGATTAACTGGGACCCTGAGTACATAATTTCATTCCACCTCATGTACAACATGTGATGTGAATGACAATCAAGAAGCTTGAACTTGATTTATTATTGTAGTATTAGTGTAATGGAGTCCTTGGTGACGGTGTACCCATGAAGCCAGCACACACTTCTAGATATACAGTAGAAGTTGTATGTTTGGTCATCAAGAATTTGAGACAGGACTGGCATCATTCCTAGACTACACCCCTCTGGCTATGCTTGCAATGTTCATTTCTGTTTGGCTGCTATACGCATTGCATCCTCCTCACTACAACCAACAGGATAGCTCCACACTGACTAACCCACATGGTCCAAGCTCCAAGAAGTACCAGACAAACACTTGGCTATCTTTCATCTGCCTTTTGGACAAAAGCTCTTGTTTTATTCATGGTCAGATCTGCTAGTTGAGGAAGGATAAAGGGTGGATGTGGGTGAGGTTCTACACAGAAAGCTTCTCCAGCCTGCATCAAGACTGAAACTTACATTAGAGGCCCAGAAATCTGTCATATGGATATACAGTAATAAAGTCCTGCAGGTTGTGGCAAAGTCATGCCAACAACCTAGCACAGATGTAATACTCATGGTGGTAGCATTGTAGTTGTGCAGTAGTGGTGGTGCAGAGGTTAGAGAATGTTGGCCTGTGACCCGAAGGTCATCAGTTCGACTCCCCGGACCGACAACATCAACATGTAATGTCATGACTGCCTTTGCAATGAAAGTTTTCCATATTTACCATAATTTAGCCATGTTCTAATAGGCTGTTCAGGTTATGGAAAGGTGGCACGGTGGCACAGTTGGTAGAGCTGCTGCTTCTCAGTAACATAGTCACCAGATCGAATCCTGGCCAGGGACCTTTCTGGGTGGAGTTTGCATGTTTGCTATGTGTCCATTGTGATGGACTGGAGACTCATCCACTGTGTTTTCCCCCTCTTGTGCGGTGATAGCTGGACATGGGCACTGGTGACCCCCTTGACCTGAAAAGGAAGAAGCATATAAAAGTGGATGGATGGATGGAGTCTTAGTACAGTACTTTATACCAGTGTGTTACACCTTTAAATTGTTTATAGAAACTCTGGTTATTTAGTTTAGTTATATCATAATTTCTGTGTAATATTTGCAAGCATCCTTGTTCTCAAAATTAACTTTTTATAGCAGAACCTGTCATTGTAAATACTTTTTTAAATTAAAGATAAAATAAAATAGAAAATACATAACTAAACGCTGATTTAAAATCCTAATAGTTCAAGTTTTTTCAACATTAATCTCCAAACACAGAGCCAAGCTCCTGGTTAATAAAGGAGGATCCTAAAGTTGGAAGTTTGTAACACTTGAAGGTTTTACTGGACAGAAGACCAAACTGATATAAGAGCAACAAGCAGCAGCATCAAAACACATGAAACTACAAGCCATGACAAGCAGATCAGCGTTTATAAAATGCAACCAGGGCTGTGGGTGTCGTGTTTCATTTGCTTCCTGATGCTGTCAGAAAGACCGAGGTATTTCTGGGACTGACGTGGGTTGGCAGTCTTCTAACATGCCCTCTAAATGTTGGCTAAAAGAAATAATTCCCACTTTATTTGTTGATGTAGCTTTTTAGGCCAAACCCAGACAGTAAACAAGAACTGAGGCATTCAGCTTGAAAATGATCATTTGATCATTGGTGGAAAACGCAAAATAAAAAGTTTATGAAGACGTTTTGAAGAAGAAGTGCTGACATACATATCCAGCAATCACTGTGTGAAAGGCGGGCGACACCTGGACAGGTCTCCAGTCCATCACAGAGACACCTGGACAGGTCTCCAGTCCATCACAGGGACACATAGAGACAAACGAGACAAGGAACCATTCACTCTCTCACTCATATCTAGGGACAATTTAGAGTTACCAGCATGTTTTTGGTCTGTGGGATAAAACCGGAGTGCCTGGAGAAAACCCACGCAGCACAGAGAGAACATGCAAACTCCACACAGAAAGTTCCCTGGCCAGGATTTGATCGGGCGACCTTCTTGCTGAGAGGCGGCAGCTCTACCAACTGCACCACCGTGCCACCCACCAGTGCAGCTACTGCCTGACATTTCAGCAAACACCATCTTTTTTCTCTAAAATCCCCAAAAATATCTGTAACCTGTAATAATCTAAACAATTGCATATGAAGGAAGAGGACCAAGAGTGAAAAATGAGACAGCTGCTCCCACTGGGCTGTCACCATGACAACCTTACAGGTGTGTGTCTCACTCTTAAAAAGACAAACAGAAAGGCGGTGTAGAATGTACACCTCAAATGAACAGTGTACAGAAATTATTGGTGATTTTTAAAAAGAAGAACCTTTTGTACTTAGTACAATCCCCCCCTACTCTACCTTACATAATTAATGTTACTAATTGAATTTTTATGTATATGAATGTTTCTGTTCAGTACCCTGAGACGGCGTCTGTTGTGACTTGGCGCTTTATAAATAAACTGAATTGAATTGAATTTAGGGCCAGAACCATCGGTTGTCATATTTTTTTTTTTACAAATTTGGACGTATAATTTCTATAAAAAGTGTCTAATTTTATTTGCATGAAGTTTAGACAGCTCAAAAGTTGAAGTGCACAATGTCATCATGCTGCAAGTTGAACATTTTATGGTCAATATTTTAAAAATGTATAAATCCTTAACTGCAATTGTGTACAAAAAACACTTCAGTAAAATCCAATATTCTGTGACTTTGAACTGTGAATAGAACTTTTTTCTTGATTTTTCATTCCACCTTTATTTATACAAGTTAGTCTCATTGAGCCTCAAGGACTCAATTTCATGAGAGACCTGTTTTAGACAGAGAACACAGATGAGATACAGACAACAATAAAACAATAATATAAAAGCACATAAAATGAAAAAGTAAATAGAAGAAATGGTATAAAACAAAACAAAAACATGTACATTATAAAGCAATGTAAAATACTAAAAACAGGAATAGTAGGGATGGTAATACCTGAGCTATAGAGCTCCAAAAAAGCTAAAGTTTCTGACTTTGCTGACATTTTTGTCTTTGTCTATTTTATTTTAATTTTTGCCTACATTGTTTCAAGAAACATAGCACACTATTTCCAATCAAAGTGCATGTTTTCAAGGTTCAAGGAAACTTTATTGTCATTCTCATCACATGTGGTACATGTGGTTGAATGAAATTGTGTACTAAAGGTCTCAGCTACACCCAAAAATAGCAAAAATGTAAAGTATAAAAAAGAAAAGGTATAGAAGGATCTAAGAGATATGCTAAACAATAATAATATAATATAATAATTTCCTGCGGGATCAATAAAGTTCTATCTTATCTTATCTTATGATGTATTAAATAGGGATGCACTGATGCACTTTTTTTCCCCGATCCGATCCCGATACCTAGAACTGAGTATCGACCGATACCAATCCAGTTCCGATATCATGATCATCATTGATTTTATATGAGGCTGTAATAATCTCCTCTCAAGTACAATTTGTACAAATATTTGCACGCATGTCCAAAAAGGCAACTTGAGGTAAGTTTTATTAATGTTGGATACGTTTTAAAGTTAGAATTAAATTCTGCTAACACAAAACATGTTTTTTTATTCCTAGTTTTAAAGTGGATATTAAAGTGATTAAGTGATTGTTTAAAGTTAAATATCTCCTGGAGGGTAAACTATATCTTTGCTGCAAGTATCAAGCTGCAAAATCCTTCGTTTTCTACAAGTGATAGTGGTTGGTCATTAATTATGATGAAGTTT